TCCCAGCTCCCCGTGCCCCCCCAGCCTCTGTGCTGGCAGCCCAGCACAAGAAGCTGGACTGTCCTTGACTGCACAGCAACAACTGAAAACATCAACATTTTATCAACATTATTTTCATCCCAAATCCAAAACATAGCCTCATCCTAGCTTCTATGAAGAAAATTAACTCTATCCCAGCTGAAAGCAGGACAGCATGTCAGTCCTAACACCACCTATAACCCAAAGACAAATGGTATCCTTCCTTTATACCCGAGCATGAAATGAGATGCATCTGAGGTGAGGTGTCTGACCAAATAGAGGCCTTCAGAAGTTTAAAGCCAGACTTCTGCTGAAGGCGAGCCAGTGTCCTCCGGTGGATTTTCATGGGGCTAGGATGAAGATGTGGCCCTTCATATGTACATACATGACTTATTTCACCCTCATGCTTAGGAAAAAGAAAGTTTTAGGGTGATTAACAGATGGATTGTAATGCAACAACTTGGAGTTTTCTGGAGTTTGGAGGAAGCAGCTAGTGAGCTCAGACCTCTGCACAGTAAAGACAGTTGGATGGTTGGACTTGATGATCTCAGAGGCCTTTTCCAACCTTAATGATTCTGTGATCAATGATTCTATGACAGAAGCCTCCTATTTCGGCTTGTCAGCAACAGAGACCCCAGTGACAGGTTCTGGACACGCGCATAGTTTTGTTCGACTTTGCATGGCAGATTGAACAGAGGCCTTGGAGGGAGCCTGTTGTCGGTGGTCAGGGCTGCCTGCTCAGACAGCCAAACCCTCACTGGGGCTCTGCAGAAGACACTTCTTAGGGAATAACAAAAAGCAGAGCAGCTAGGTTCTTGCTTCGCAGCTGATGACTCCCGTTTCTTCTTCTTGTTGCTCTGGCTTCTGGGAGGCTGGGTGGCAAATGGGTCTAGTGCTAAGCAAAGATTTAGGAGTGTTTCGCGCTGTGGCTTGATGAGCTACAATGCGTAGGGAAACAGGAAGATGGCAAAATGCATGTGCGTGCTGTGGGATCAGTGTGTTTCTTTGGACAAGAACAAGTTACGCTAGGTAAGTGCCACCACACCATCCGTGGCACGCAGTCAAACACCAAGATTGTTGACTCGGATCCCCTAAAGTAAAAAGACAGTTAGAACATTATGATAGGTAAATATCACAATTTTTCCTGATATTTGGGCTAGTTCTTCTTTGCTTTCCTACCTAGAGCACTCAGGGCCTGAATTTGTCAAAACTTCCTCTGAAGGCACAATTCTGAAGTATTTAGATGCATGCTCATTTGAGCCACAGTATAGGCTTTTCCTTTGCAGTGCTTTAACGAATTGTTTTTCTTTCCCTCCTGAGAATCAGTTGTTATTGTTATGAGCTTTCCTCTTTTCCTGCACTGCACCCCAGCCACTGAATACTCTTTGAATTTCCTCATCTTTCCTGTCTAAGCTACCAAATGCAGCTAAGAGCAAGGTGTCAGATCTCTTGTTCCTGTTCTTTGATGGCCATGATTGTCACCTGAGGTATTTCTCAGTAACCAAATTCTCTTTCTAGAGAACAGTGCTTCTCTGGCTCCCGGGTACTGCAACATTCTTCACATCAGTGAAGCTGAGGTATAAACCTCAGCGAGGTTTATAAGGTGCTCAGTGAAAGGTTCTGCAGAAACGTCAAGTACTGGTAGGTATTAATGAAAAATAGGCTGTCCCGTAAGCCATTAAAACTAAGAATATGTTCTTGCAGGAATCAAGATGTCTTTGCCAAATGATGTCAGTATGGAAGAAATACTGCTGGAAGATGATGACCGAGACAGCATAGAATACAAGATCCTAATGGCCTATGCCCAGCGACGGTTGTCTGTCAGTAAATACAAGGAACTACTGAAAAATGAGGCTAACGTTCGGAAATCATCGTCCTTAATCAGGAGAAAAGTAGAGATTGACCATCAATGGGTTAAAGGTGGACCAAGAAGAAGAGTAGTTTTTCAGGGTGGCGTGATGCAGCAGCACAGCAAAAAGCAACCACCAAGAAAATACGGGCTAGGATATCGTCTACCTTTTCTCTGTGGCAGAGCAGAGCTGCAAGGACCCTCATTGCACCAAGATCACACGGCACATTCCTCCATTTCTGAGGCACAATATGAGAGCCTTCAAGAAGGGAATTCTCAGCATCAGACAAGTATGTCTTAGTTCTTTCCATTTGCTGTTTGTCTTTAAATCTCTCTTGAAATAGCTTAAATGGTTGGTGGCCTGTGAAAAGGCAGGAGAAGGAGTATGGTTTCTTTCATTTTTTGGTCACCTCTTATGCTAGCTCTATTGATTTCCAGTTAGGAAGGCAGGCTGCCAGATCTTCAGTAGCAAACACAAGACACATGCTTCTCATTGGGTTTTCTGTTTTCCGTCATATGGTGGAAAGTATTGTATAATTGCACAGGTTGGGTTTTTTCTGAGCATTGGCACTTTTTTTTTCATACTTGTAGAAAGAAAACATAAAACACTGGTCAGACTGAAGACCTCCGTACTAAAATCAAGGAAGAGAAGTTGTTTGAAGACCTGTACATAGAGTTTTATCATGTGATAAATATTCCACACTAAAGACAGAAGTGCTAGATTCTGCTTGAAACTCTGGTGCCAAGCAGTTGGCAGTGACCAGCCTCAAGCACAGAGCAGCCCACGTCTCTGGGCCGCCTCTCATAACCCCACCCTCTATCTTAACTGGAAACAGTCTTCGAAGGTTATCTAAGTCTCCTTTGCACGTTGCTATTATATTAAGTCTGAACCTGCCCTCCCATGTGTTGGAAGAAGAGGCAGTAGGTGGCTGTAATCCATCTGACATCCAGGGATCCCACCCACATAAACATCTTGTACCCTAGCCCCCAAAGCCAGCCCCACATCAGGTGTTGCGCTGCAGGCAATGAGATTTTACCTTTTTTGCTCTGGATAATAACTAATACCTTAACTTCTCATACAAGACAGAGAGGAGGATGAGGTATCCCTGTTAAATTGCCATATACAGTATGTGATAGGTTACCATATTGTTTTCGTACACATAAGGTAGAGGGTTGTTTGTTTAATTTTTCCCAACTTGATACTGTTGGTATCACAGCAATTGCTCTCCCCTTTCACTGCATTCAAAGATATTTCTAAAAATTATCCACCACTGACTTCTCCAGCTTAATGCTCTATCTCCAGTCAGTTTAACAGTCTTGGGGCAGCTCCTACCCACCAAGCCCATAACTCTCTCTGCTGCCAAATCCAGCCCTGCCTCTCGAGAAAGGGTCCCTGCCTCAGCCCAGTGCCTTTTGCTAGGGGGAAATAACTATAACTTTCCATTGTTTGGTTGCCAGGGACATATGTCTGCATCCAGATACCTGTTTTTATGTCCATTTTCACATTGACAAGGAAAGTGCTCGAGAGTTTGGGTGCAATCACTTGATGGCCCTGCCAATACATCGCCATGTTCCCTGCAGCATGGGTGGCAGGATGGCCTGGAGGTAAAAACTCCCCATGCTGGGTGTTAACCTCCCTGGGGATCCTGCTTGGCTTCAAATCTGGGCTTTACCTGCCCTTCAGCAGATTGTCAGACCAATTCCTAAGACAACATCATTATTATTATTAGGTACTTATACTGCTAGCAGTTGCACTGCTAGCTTGGCCGGGCCATTCTGGAGTAAATGGAGGTGCTTTTGGGGATTACTCATCTAAATCGAAGACCTGTTTAATTTAGAACCAGTTGCCTAATCTTAGGTATCCAAAGTCATGAACAGCTGGATCTGCTTTGCAGAAGTTTAGCAGCTCTGTGACAAGATCTGCAGACAGACAAGGGGGTGGAAATGTCTTGGGGTTGATCCACCAGCCTTGAAATGCAGTTTTTATTGGCTGCATTAACCCCTGCTGCCCTCACAATAAGCTCTGCTTGTGAATTTTACATGTGTTATGGGTCAGGCTGCTGCCACTGAGCTTGTCTCGATGTCTGCTGGTCACGCAGGAGCTGACACTTGGCAGTGGGGGTGGGGAGATTGATTTTTGCACCCTGAGTTCTATGAGGCAAATTGTAAGGAAGAGCACCTTTTAGACGAAACAAACCTTGCAATGGCTCCTCCTGCTCTCTTTGCTGTAGCAGGATCCCTGCTGGAGTCCCCTCACCGGGCGATGCCCACAGCCGCGGTCATTACACAGGTGGATAAAGCCAGTCTGCTTGCTGAGTTCTCCCAGTATCCATGTCCACTTAATACAACAGTGTCAAGGACACAAGAAGCTTTTGTGCTAGAGGTGCCTCCGAAGTGGAGTCTGCTTCTCCTTTGCTCAGGATTATCCTGTGACAAGAAGGAAAGAACATTCTGACATACCGTCTTTCCTGAATCGGGACCTATAGACGAACTAATCAGGGGCAATACAAATAAGGTCTAAGATTCACAGTCCTACAGAGCAGTACTCTCACATTTCTTCATACATGGTGAGCTTCTGGCTTGCAAGGATGTATGCTAGTGAGCAACACTCACACTTGCTTCTGTATGGCCTCTGTATAGTTAGCTGCTCCTCAGATACTAGAGAGGGGTTGTACTGCATTACTTGTCTCTCTAAATTATTGCCAGCTGATCTCAAGCAATAGCAAGACCCCAGCATGGGGAAATGTATCTCTTCATATCCTCTGGGCAATTCCACCTCAGGGGGCATGTGAGTAAATCACTGAATCATTTCCTGGAAAAATTAATTGCTGCCTTTATTTCCCACCCTCCTTCCCAACCAGGTGAAATAGCAGATGTCAACGACATTGCAGACAAACTCACCCAGCTTGTTACTACCAGATCCCAGGAACCTCCTTCAGATGTGTCATTCAAGATAATGCATCATGCTGCATGTCAGGAACGAGTTGATAGTGGTCCTAGTGATGGACGTGAGGGTAAGGGTGAAGAATTTCATGCTCACAGGCAGTGAGTCAGGTTGGGATTGCACACTGAGGCATTTTCTCTAGACATGGTGAAGCACTTGGGACGTCTGTGGTAAGACGCTGTGAAGAAGGAAGTTTGCTCTGCTGGTTCTTGCTCTGTTGCCCACATTTCAGGGACTGCTCTTGCAGTCCTCTAACAAGTCCTGCCTGCTACTGCAATTACAGGAAGCATCCTTAAAAATCCAAGGAGGTGTGACAAGAGTAAAGGAGGATGAAGGTAAAGGGATGTAAGGTGACAGAGCAGTGGTAGGAGGTGGGAGGGCTGGGGGCAGAATAATACAGCGGGGCTCAAAGGCCAAAGACCAGGCATTGGGGCAATAATGTCCTGGTCAATCGGGGATGGGACAACACTGTTCAACAATGTCTGTTAGAAGTCTGAACTGCTTGTCTTCCGTGACGTCTGCAGAGATTTAGTTTTAATGAAAGTTTTCTGGGGACTTCTGGTTATAAGAGAGATCCTGCTATACTTACATTTTCTTTAATCCAGCAAACGCAGAGTTTGTCCTAATGAGTTGCAGAAGGTATAATTGGTAATGATGAGGGGATTTTTTTCCCCCTAATTTTAAGTCCATTTTCATGGGCTTCCACTAGCTGCTCTCTTGTTCTGGCTTGTTATCAGATATACCTCAAAGCCCAAAGGGCTGGCAGTGGGATGTTAAAGGCCCTGCTCTCTCCCAGATTCTTAACCAGAGCAAAACAGTGGGCAGATGGAGAAATAGCATTGCTTACTCCACGCAGACTAGAACAGTGAGCTTCAGCTTAAAGCCTAGATAGACAATTATCTGTGAAATTGCCACAAACTAACAGCAGTTTTCATGATTAAGTGACACAAAGGCTTTCACCATAGTTTGCTATCTGGATCTAATATTTATGTTACTCTTTTCTTTAACAGATGAAGAAAAGATAATACAAACAATAGTTTCACTGTTAAGACAATCAGGGGACCAACTAGAAAAAAAGGTAACTCCTCCTGTTTTCAGGAGCTACACAGACTAGAGAGTGAGAGAGAGATTACGCTTTTCTTGGGAGTGAACATTTTGTAACGTTGCGTGCTCTGTCTCTATCCTGAACTTCCCTTTCTGCATCTAGGGCTTTCTGAAACCTTTGCCATTCATCCTGAAATCTTTCTTAAGACCAGAGGACTAAGCAGAGATCTCTGTTGGGGTGGGGAAGCAAGGCAATAAAAATGTTGTGCATTTCAAAGAGGAGTGACTCACATCATTCCCTTTGAGTTTCATGGGACATTGATGACATTCATGAGCACTCAACTGACCCTGAGAAACTGTTGTGTTTGCATTAAATTTGACATACAAGTTATTCCCAGTGGAGGGAGAGAAACTCTACAGCTATAAATCTTCTGAGTGCATTTTGAAAGGCCTGCCCAAAAGCCATAGAAGAACATCCACATGAGTCCATTACTTGGAGTGCATGTTTTCTCTATTAAAAATTTGGTACTTGTTACCTTTACTCCCTTCTTTAGCTGCCCCTTCTGCTCTATAAAGGTATACTCCCACATGGTGGACATGCTCAGCTCCTGCAGCAGAGAGGTAACCTCTCTGTAAGAATACAGTAAGAAGCATCACAAAGACCGTGGCTGAGCAAATGAAGCTTAGCATAGCAGCTGTTGCCAGCACTTCTCATACCTTGCCTGTACTGGCATCTTCCCACTCCTCCTGTATTCCCATGGCTTCTCACCTGCAGGTCTCAATATCAGTGTCACACTTGTTTTACTTTCTCTCTCTCTGCTTCTCTCATTCAAGTGCAAAAAAACCCTGAAGATTTTTTTGAGGATAAAGCATAGAGACACCTCCAGAGTCTGAAGTGAGGTGTGGGGTTTGTGTGTCATGTCTTGCATTCACCACCACAGTTAGACTATATTGCATGTATTACCTAGAGATGCTTTCCTTTCCCAATGAGATGAGGAATGCAATTCCAACAAAAGTGGCTCAATTTAACCGATGCTTATTCTTATTTTCAGATCAAAAAGGACAGGGTTTTCTATCAGTGTTTTAAAGCCATGCTGTCCTACACCTTCTTCAAGAGGGTCACTGATTTGTTGCTGGAGGATGTCTCAGCAGATTCAACAAGTGAGCCAGGAGGCCAAGTACAATGCACAAAAGTAGCCTTTACAATGGAAGTTGCCACCAGACTTACTGCTGTGGACAACCATCCTATGAACTTGGTCTTGGGCTTTGGATTAAAGTACCTCAGAGAACACTTCAAGCCGTGGATTCAGGACCAGGGAGGCTGGGTATGCGTTTTGCCTCCCTCGACTTGTGTGTAGCCTAAGGCACCTTGAAGCAGCACACTTTCACAGAACTAACATGGGCCAAATGCAAACCAAACCAAACTGCATATTCTTTAACACAGCTTGTACTCCAGCTGTGGAATTACTTCTGACAAGAAACCTTCTATGCTGCAAGTTTTTTGTTTACATCGGTCCAAAAATCAGTAGGGGACATTCACAGATAAGTATAAAACAGCCTTCCTGGCACAGAGGGTTTCTCCACTACAAATAGCTGAAAGCTGGGAGAAACACCAGGAAACTTCACGCTTACCTTAATCACAGAATCATTAAGATTGGAAAAGACCTCTAAGAGCCAGTGCCGAGTACAGGGGCACAATCACTTCCCTACTCCTGCTGGCCACACTATTCCTGATACAGGCCAGGACGCTGTTGGCCTTCTTGGCCACCTGGGCACACTGCCGGCTCATGTTCAGCCAGCTGTCAACCAGCACCCCCAGGTCCCTTTCCGCTGGGCAGCTCTCCAGCCACTCCTCCCCAAGCCTGGCTTGGGGAGCCACTCCTCCCCAACCCATAGCGTTGCATGGGGTTGTTGTGACCCAAGTGCAGGACCTGGCACTTGGCCTTGTTAAACCTCATACAGTTGACCTCAGTGCATCAATCCAGCCTATACTTCTCCCTAGAATTCTGCTGTTGGCAGGTTCTAGGGACAGCATAGTAGTTCAGCAGTTCATACAGTCTGCCCTTATGGTGTGGTGTGCTTCCAATTTCCCTGTACACAAAAGTATCTGTTTATCTTCATATCCCTCTTTCAGAGTCAGTTGTGCAAGGTGCTCTTTTGCCAGCAGTGGTACTGAGCTGCTGCCCTTCATAGCTCGTTTACCTGGATTTACTAGGAGGCACTTGCGTCAGAGATCCTAGTCCTTTTGTGCTTCATGAAATGAATGGAAGCATTCAGCAGCTGTACAGCCTGTCTCCATTAGAAAAGATAGCATGCGAGGTCAAGAAATCCTGCTGGCAAACCTACTGACTGACCTCAGCAGAGTTGAAATTAGGATGAGAGTCCTTCTTGCTTTATAATTGTAATTTTTCTTTCTATGTTACAGGAGAAGGCTTTGAGTTCACTGGATCAGGAAGAAGTAGAGTAACCATGGCTGAATTAATTCTTCAGGGCGCAGAAGCCTTCAGTTAAGGAACATGCAGGATCTTTCCACAAACCAATGCCAGAATGATTAGTGGCTGTGTATTTTTATTTTTTTCCAAGGCGTTGCATGATTAACTCTGATGGTTACAATTGAACTTTCTTAAAGTTGATGTTGATGTAGAAGCGTTCTTCAGCGGATGTGAAGGCACCTTCAACTCCCCTGGAGCATTCAGCTCCACAGATAGTGATTTTAGCTACCTTTCTGAGTAGAGATGTTTGCCACTACTCCTACGGACGGATGTTAAAGAGCAAACTGGAGGAAAATGTCAAAGTATGCACTTGAGAACCACTGGACTGTGATCAACCAAGTGGGACAAGTGCTGTCAGCTTTGTGTGGTTCATAGTGGTACTATCTGTTATCAATTCCACAGTCCCTTGTTAGAAGACATACCTACACACTGCTGCCAGTTTCCTCTCGCTCCCCCTGCTCCTTGTCTGATTAGGTTCTCCAAAGCATTGATGCCATTTTATACTTCTGAAAGGGACCGAGTAAAGGTTAATGAGGGCTTTTTACTCCAGTGCCTTCCCCGTCCCCCCCAAAAAATAGACTTGATCTACTTCCAGATGCTTTTAATTTGAACTCTTCTGTTTCAAACCCCTTCAAAGCATAGCACAAGAGATGCTGACTTTTACAGTGTTGATTTGTCCATTAATGTGGAATATACAAGCATTCTGAGAGCTTTGTAGCCCAAGAAATGTAAAACCTATCCTACTCTGTCAGTTTTCTTCCTTGTTCAAAAGGAGCTCGATACTACGTGTAATCTGGGGGATTTCTCCGTAAACTGAACTGGCTCTTCAGGCAGCGAAAGCAAGTGATCTTGTTGAAGGTACACAAGGAATGAAGCTGGGGGTATTTTTTAGTCTCTGTGAGCAGTTAACAAGGTGCAACCTTGAGGGAATGGAACAAGATAATCACAAAAGAAACACAACTACTGAACCTTGAGTGAACTATCCTGATTAACATATAATTAACATATAATTGGCATAATAGAAACCTGTCCCTGGGTGGGCGGGGAAAGCCCCCTCCTCACAAAAGCCCCTTCCTCACTGAGCATGCCTAGGAAAAAAGAAGGATGCTGTGACCTTAAGTGGAGACGAGGCTGGTGAGAACCAAGGGGAACAAGGGTGATGAGCCAACTTTTAAAAATGACCGATAACTGTTGCTCGCAGTGTAGAAATATTTTCTGTGTGTTAACCGAGGTGTGCTAGCTTTGTGGGCCTACCACCTAGCACCCAGCTCTGTGCAGGTTTGGAACAAAAACAAATATCTCAGCTCTGCGTGTGTTTTTCAGCTCTCTGCACGCCGGGTGGAAGAACCCATATTTGGGACAACAATCTGATTAGGGTTCTTGAATCTCTCTGTGTGGCAACGGGAGGAATAGCAGTGCATCATTTAGAGTAGAGGCGGATGCCAGTGAAACTATTCATGATTTGGAGGCTTGGCTTGTGGCCCATTTAGTTGATGACTTTTGGATTTCAAAATGCTGCAAATTCTCAGAGGAGAAAGAGGGAATTCAGGACATCTGCTGAGGCTGTAAAATCATGGCATCACTTCTCTGGTACAAACAGGTAACGTTCCCTGAACAGGCGCTCTGCCTGTCGGTAAGATACCCTTCCACTACGGGTGCTCATTCTGTGTGTAGAAGTACTTTAACTACAGAGATTGCATGAAGAATTTATAAACAAATAGTGAATTTGAATGAAAGTGATAAAAAGCATTTTAACCGGATGTGTAAAAAATGAAATGCTATCAAAGACCAAGTATTTTTCTAATAAATCTTAAACTTTCAACTCATGTGTAGCAAACTCTGCCTCTGTTTAGACATGTGTGTGTGAAACAAAAGACAAAGAAGGTGGAAGCGAGTTACCTGTGTTTCCCTTCTTCAAAGGAGTTTGGAAATACTTGATATACTTCTAGACTGTAAATCTAAGATTCCTGTACTTTTAGGAACATCCATGCTTTCTGATCACATCAGATGTCCCCACAGGGGGACGATTTGTGGGAGGGAGGCAAGAACTCACTCAAAAGTTCAAAATATTTTTCTTCTCCTGTCTCTTTCTCCAACATCTTTTTCCTATGGAAAAAAAAATTGTGAGGCATTGTACCCTGTCACACATTGGAGGCTGCTGCTTTATTATAAATTTGATTGATTTCTGTAACAGGATTGTTAGCTAGATCTTGTCTCTGAACAACTATATCTGATTCCATTTTAATTACACTAAGGCTAGACTTGGTCTACTAGTGTACACCAGTTTGCCACTAGCTGGATACTAGCTTATGGAAGTCACTTTTTAAATTTTCTCTGCTTGAATAACAGTCTGCTATTTAGTGAGGTGAAAATTCTGTGTTTGTGAGTGTGATTTTCCAGCTGAAGGTTTAGCAGCCCTAAACTCACATTTGTCCCTCATCCCCAGTTTGGTGCCTCAGGGCCAGTTTCATGCCAAGAGCGGAACCAACAGCAAAATAGACCGATCTTGAATGGGAATACGAAAACTAGCCCTCTAAGAAAAGATATTCAGCTGGTTTTTATTTTTCTCTGGGCTGTTAAGAGGGATTTTTTTCAGTAGCAGTAGGGGCCAGCATAGGAAATCAGCCAAGTGAGCTGTTTCTTATTTAGTCATTCTTACATTTGTCATCTGCATCGGTTAGATTTTAAGAGCAATCTACTCCTTTTATGGCAGGGGTCCGTGGTAACCTCCTTGCTGGAACGATGGCTTTGGTTCATCCTAAGAGCAGTCAGCAAGGCGAAGCACCCAGCTGTTGCCATTGCTGCTGCCTGGCATGAATTAATAAAGCTCTACTACTGGCTCACCCAGTCTTTGTCTTGCTGTCTTCTTTTAATCTGTGATGACTAAACTAGGGGCAGCCGAATGCCTGCGTTTTGGGTGTGTATGGCAGCGGAAGGGATGTTGTGGGCGAGGGCGACTGGCCATGCCTTCATTTTACATTAATCTCTCACAAGACATCGTTGTCTGTGTTTAACTGTAGGACCCTCTGGTGCCAATTTGGGGTGTTACTGTAAAAGATAGAGAGGTTTACTGTTAGAACGAGAAGCGTCGCTTAGCATTTTTCTTATTGTGTATCTACCCAGGTCAACATCACCCTATTTGCTGTATCAGAGGGTTTAATTGTAAAATGAGCTGATTTCACTGGGTATTCAGGTTGCAACAACAGAGTTTAGCCCTGCGCAGGTGATGCTGGGTTTATATTTCTAAAGGACTTTAGAAGTGTCCTGCAGCTGCCTTCTGCGCTGTGCTAAAGGGAGCCAGTCCACTGGGGCAGCCCGTGTCAGCACCCGGGAGCTGCCGTCCCAGCATAACGTCACCCTGCGAGAGCTGGGACTCCAGCAGCGAGTGGGACCTGCCCTGGCTGCCATTCCCTGGGGTGGCTAAAGGCATCGGGTAAGAAGATCCCGCGGTCCATGTGCCCACGCGTTGCACAAAGGAGCCCTGCCCTGGCTGGTGGCCACAGTGTCCCTTGCTCCAAGTGAGTGAACAAGAGGCAGGAATAGTAGAAAACCGTCTGGAGCCTTCACCCAAAACAACACATTGCACTTGTCTGTTACTTACCTTTGCTCCAGCTCTCAGGAAGTGCTGGCAAATCCCGTATTTCTCCAAAAAAGGCTGATGACGCGTGTGGAGGCATCCTTGGGTCGTCTCACTGTATCGCATAGTCCCTGTCTTTTTAAGCTGAATCTCCTTTCTCTCCTTCCCACAGGTGAGGAGGGTGCTACCAATACACACATTTGAGTAGACAGAAAAGCAGCAGGTGGACAGAAAGCGAATTGCAGCGAAGGACCGAGGGGAATAGCTCAATAGACACCATTGTCTGAAAAGTGGATTTATTGCCTATGACTTGTCTGCTGTAGAGGCTTCCAATCTGGAACAAGTTCAGGGTTAAAAGTTCGCAGCTGGGGCTTGTAGTGTGAGCAAAGGGTGAGAACCAAGCAGAAAACATTAAAGCTGGTTGCCTGCCTTTGTTATCTGCAGCTGTGATGCTCTTGCCAGGGATGGTGTAAACCCCAGAAGCAAGATAGAAGCTCTAGCTGTGTTGCAGGATACCTAGCACAGCAGGTTGTGGGGTGGGGTTAGGAGATGTTCTGGGGTTGGAGCTACTGCGATCCCTTCTAGTCAACCCACCGAAAAGCTTTCTGCCGTGTCCCATGACTTGCTCCACCACATGTCTATCGCAGCCAAAGTGGAAAGCTTTTCGCTGTGCAGGTGCAGAGACGATGCATTTTCCTGCCTAGGGTGGTAGAAACGATGGGTTGCAAAAAGATTTCTTGCTGGAGTCAGCACCTTCGCTGACTGGTATGATCTTGGAGCTGAATTTCATGATAGTCTTCCCCTTGTCTTTCTACCCCAGGGTCACCTTTGGCAGATCCATGCCAAACATGGCTCATCTCTTTTCTAAGGGGAAGCTCAGATGCTTCCTAGCCAAAGTTAGCATGCTGAAAGGGAAACCAACTGAGTCCATCACTGGATGGCTGGAGGGAGATGGGACTTTTTTTAGAAGTTAAACATCCAAAGTGGAACTTTCTGTCTGCCACTGCAGTGGTTCTGCTTTAAATATTCATTACACATAGCGCTGCAATGGAAAATTTGGATTATGCTTACATTATCTTCCCTAGAGATCTGAACCTGGATTTTCTTGCATGCCAGCTAGCTGTTCTAACCACTGTCAATGTGGATAAAACTACCACTTGTGTAATACCACCAGTATTAACCTCTTTGCTCCGCCCAACCTTAAATGATACATCCCAGGGAGCATCTGCTAGATGCTAAACAGGCAAGAGGACAGCCTGTACCAAGAAGCTCATCACCGCTCAGTCTGAGGGC